GGCTGGGACCAAGAGCCAGGCTGCTTCCCATTGCTAGTAACTCAGGAGGCCTGATACAGGGTCATCCCGAAGGCCTTGCCTACCATAGCGCCTGGCTGACTCGAGAATGTGAGCCCACAACTCCCACCCAGATATGGAGTGTGCTAAGTTAGGAGGCAGAGGTGGCTGAGGAACCTTGACATGTGGCCCCTCCCTTCCCCTGCTGTGCTCTCCTGTGCACCCAATGCATAATTGGTAGATTGAAGAAGGGGGAGGGAAGGACTAGAGATGTGGCAGAAGCTTTCAGACCAAGCTTCTCAGAAAGTGGGAGCTGGTCTTGGGATTTTCCCCATTTCAAAGCCCAACCACCTTAGCCTAGACCTCCCTTCAGCCAAAGCAGATGAACCCCTGTCCCAGCCAATGTCATTCATATATATTACCCATTTATTAGATTCCTTACCCATGCCAAGCAGATCATCACCACCTATCTTCCTAAGGGTCCTAGTTAAGGGTGGTGTGTTGAGCATAGAGAGGTCGGGGAGGCATGACAGGGAGGCATGGTTTGAGACCTGCCCCAGATAATGACTTGGAAATTGGCAAGGACATTTCAGTCAAAGGGACCCCATATGCAAAGGCATGGAGGCATGACGGTGTCTGAAGCACATGACATGGGGACTGTAGTGAGTCGGGAGAGGTGGATGTGGCACAGGTTATGGAGAGCCGGGGTGCCAGCATACAGGGTTTAGACTTTGCCATAAATTGATGGGAACGTCTTTGAGCAGCAGTAGGATGTAGTCCGATCTATACTGGAAAGGTCTCTCTGGAAGTGAATGGGGAAACCCAAGGGCAAAAATTAAATACAGAAAGAGCAGGGCTAAGGCAAAAAGAGTGAGCACGGAGCCGGAGCCACAGGCAGGACACTATTTAATATTAAAATCCCTGGCAGAATTTTTAAATATTCTTATCAGTGGCTCCTCTCCCAGACCCCATAACTTGCTTTTAGATTAACTCTCTGACACCAATTTCTGGCAAAAGAATCATGGCCCCATCAAGGATTAACACCTGGACTCTTCTTGGCTGGGAGACAGACTTGCAGATTCAAACCCCACTGCAGCTGCAGGAGCAAGAGGGAAGCCACAAATGAGGGTCACCATATGCAGGGCAGGCAGCAACCTTCTTGGAGGGGCCAGTTGTCTGAGTCTCGCCTACAGCTGAAGAGATAAGAACCTGCAACTGCGGCCACAGGAAATAACAAAGCAGTGACTGATCTGGGAGCTGCTGCACAGGGCTCATTACGGCGCTCGCCAGCGGGCTGAGAAACCCTTATCAGGGAGAAAATTGCATCAGGACTCCTGAATTACTAGAGATTGGAAGCAGATTTCTTGGGACGCACTTTGTTAGATACCTAATGAGCGGGATACAGGCGGGCAGAGCCCAAAGCCAGCGGGGCGAGGGACAAATGTCTTTGTTAAACAGAATTTGTCAGTTTCCGCTCCAGGCTCCCTGGGGAGGGTTCAGGGCCAGCTAATTGAATTAAGAGCATGTGCGCTCCCGCAAGAAGGCTCAGGGCGGGGCAAGAGGCGGGCTGGCCGGAAGGCGGGCACTTTCAGCACCAAGGACAGCAGCTGTAGCCTGGCTAGTCCGTAATTGCCAGGGCAGGCTGGAACTGCTGCATTTTGCATGATCAGGGATCTAGGGGATGGAGTGGGTTGGAGTGAGGCAGAGGATGTTGCGGGGAGGAGGGAGACAGGTGACTTAAGAAGTCTCGAGCCTGTGATGCCATTGGTCTGGTCTGTCTCAACAGACCCCGCTCTGCTGGCAACAGTGAGGGCTGGGAAGTGTGAGGAAGGGGTGTCTTCCCCCCACTATGGCACTCATGTGTGGTGTGGGCAGCTGTAGCAGCACAGGGAATGGTGGGCTGGGTGCTGAGTCTGAGCTAGTGCGTGGCTGTGCATTGCTTTGAGCTTTCAAAGTTGGTCTCCAATTACAGCCCTAATGAAGCAGGACATGCTCCAGCCACGGAGCCACAGAGCCAGGGGCCACTTGTCAGCCTCAAGCTGTCCCAGCAGGCAGGGCAGGGTTTATCAAATAGAAAAGCAAATAAGCAGACTGTGGGGTGGGCCAGGATCCCCAACCCACCTAAAGGAAAGGAGGAGAGCCAGGCAAGCCTGGGCCTGAATGGGAGGAGCTAGTCCCAAGGCTTTGCTGTCTCCCCATCCTCTATCCCGACCACCACCCCAGCAGCTGGCCCCTCCCTGTGGTCTCAGACAAGCTCCCTCCTTGAGGATCGAGGAGATGAGGGCATAATCCCCTCCCCAAAATATGGGCTGATTGAAGCTGAGAGCCAGGAGAGACAATGTTGGCCATAAAGAAGGGAACTATTAGGGGAATTTAGACCCTGTGTGAGGCACTGTGTCCTCTTGATGCCTCTCACCTTATGTGACAAAAGCAACTGCCTTGGGCTTCCCCTGTAGGGCCTGCACTGTTTAGAGGTCTAAAGATTTTCCTATGGTGCAGTGGATGGGAATGTGAGCAAAATAGACTTAGTCTCGCCTCCCCTCCTCAGAACACACCCCTGCCCACGAGAGACTGATGGGTGAGGGCACTGGTCTGGACCAAGGGGTTGATCTCATCTTTATTTTAGCTCTGTGATAAAAGTAAATGAATTGCACATAGTAAAGTTCAGAATCCACAGAAAGTTATGTGGTGAGTGCCCAGCTCTGACCAGGGGCTCAGGAAATGTCAGCTCTGGATCACGGAGTTGGCCCAGCCGATGCTGGGCCACACAGGTGGACATCAGGGAGGCAGACTGTGGGGGAGGGGCTCCCTCGGCAATTGTCCCTGCTTTCAGTGCTGATGGGGGCACCTCTGGAGACCTCTCCCTTGATTTCATTACTTCTACTTCCTCCCCTAACTGGATTAGATGGCAGTCTATGAAATCCAGGGCATTGAGATTGGCTTTCTGCCTGGAAATGAGGAGAAATGTTATTATGGGTCCTGAAGCAGCATCTCACCCCAGCCCCAGGGGCACCTGCTCAGTGGGGACGTGGTCTTTGCCCTGGCTAGTTATTCCTTCCTTCGTTCTCTCCTGCATCCATCTAGCCACCCATCCATCTAATATGCATTTTAGAGCTCTCCCTCTGCAGCTGGTCTAGTGTGCAGCTGTTTTGAGTGGGAGACAGATGTGGTACTTCTTTCTATCTAAAGCACACAGACATCCAGAAAACTCCAAGCCATCTGACTCAGATGCGACACGGGGTGTATTCATGTCAGTGGGGAGCCTCCTCGTGAATCCCGCCCTCCCTAAACCAGAGCTACCAAGAGGAGCAGGTGGGAGAGACGGCCAGGCCAATGCCCACAGACAGAACAGGCCCAGAGGCCTGGCTGTGTAGTGCAGTAGGTGGCTTGCCAAAGCCAGCCTCGGGTGCACCCAGCGTCTCATTCTTCCCATTCCAAGAGTCTTATCATAGCTGCTTTCTCTTTGGAATTATCTATTTTTGTGCCCACTGGATGGGGATTGCAGGAGGACGGGGCCCAGACTAGAGTGGATGCCTCTGTGTCTTGTATGACTACCCCTTCCTCTACGGGCACAGCCTGAAAAGGTTTCATGTTAATGAATTTCTGCACACCAAATTTTAATTGAAAAGGGTATAAGGGAATAATTATTTAAAGGATCCCAGCGGTAAAGAGAAGGACCCAGTCCCATTCCGCCAGCTCATCCGGGTAGCTTTTCATACAGAGTACCCACTTAAAGAGAGGCCTGACTGCCCATTCCCACTCCGGTTGTTCGGGCATCTTAACCCTGAGTGCATCTGTCCTGGTTGGCACTGTGCCATGGCTCTATTTATTTCTAGCACAATACTCCAGACAGTGGAACAATTTGTCTGTGGCCGAGAGAGGATTCCAACAGCTGATCTAGGGTGGGACTAGCTCCCCTTGCAGGTCCCTACAAACCCCGACACTACATGGTTCTTTGAAAATGGGCATGTTTTAGAGATAACCACAGATTTCAAAGAGAGCTTTCAAGTAACCTCTCCCCAAAGGGAGCCTGGACATGTCCCTAAGCACAAGGAACTTAATGTTTTGTTAGAAAAACAAGAATAGCAAGCAAGTCCGGAAAGAGAGCAGTGTGAGAGCACAGGCAGCCAAGTGCTGGGCAGGAAGAACCCAGAAAAGCTACAAGCAAGTGTGAACTGAGGCATCAGGGCTGTCCGGGGGGGCTGGCATGCGAGTGGGGTCAGGTTTTGGACACGCAGAGATGACAGCGAGAGTCAGGCCGAGGGAGAAGAGAAGAAAAGGAAAAGAACGTGGAAGGAGACAGAGGCTCACCAGAGTACACAGAAAGAGGAGACTTTGTTTAAGGAGTGATGAGATTGGAGGATGATAGAGGAGACGAAATAGAAAATAAGTCTACACAGCAACGGCTATCAAAAGAGAGCGGGATTTTAGAAGCTGTTGTTACTGCACCAAGCGTGGGGTCAGAGAGGGCATCGTTCGCTTATTCTTTCAGCAAATATTTGTTGAGCGCCTACAATGAGCCAGACGCTGGCATGGGCTTATGTCCTAGTGTGGGCATTGGAGGAGGGAGGCAGCTAACAAGTAGCTCCATTTTTCGACAGTTAGTTTTCTACTAGAGTACGATGAACACAGGAAAATGGGGTAATGTGGGTTTGGAAGTGGAGGCTATTGCAAAGAGCAGGGCCTCCTGAGAAGACCGTGTCTGCACCGAGATCTGAATGCGGAGGGGACAGCCATGTAAAGACCCACGGGACCTCCGGCTGGCGAACAGCAGATGCCAAGGCCCTGAGGCAGGAAAGCGCTTGGCTCGTTGGAGGAATAGCAAGCAGGATGCTGTTAGGGCCCCGTGAACAAGGGCAGGTGGTGGGAGGTATACAGGGCTGGGCATACAAGGCTTCCTGCGCCACGGGGCAGGGGAGGCTCAGGGTGCAGAAGGTGTACTTACGGCAGAGAGGCCCAGAGAAGGGGCCTGTCTGAAGTTTTCCTGCACCTTCTCTTCTCAGAGGCCAGAAAACTTCTTGACATCAGACAACAGCAAGGCTTTGCCCACCCTGGACCCAAAAGTCCTGGACGAGAAGCTGGGAACCATCCGCGAGTCCTGGTCGGCGGCCATGAGCCCCGTAACGGGCTCCAGTACGCCCAGCTCTCAGGGGGCAGAGGAGGAGCCCCCCGAGCCAGAGACGAGCCGCGACGCGGTGAGTGTCTCTCCCCAGGCAGGGCGGGCTGGAGAGCGATGGGCGTGGGGACTAGCCCATGCCTCGGGTGGCAAGTGGCCCTCCCTCTGGCCACACTGTGCGAGCGAGCAAGCTGCCCCAAGACTAGCGGGCAGGAGGGGAGGTTCTCCCTCTGACAGTCTCCCCACCTTTCGGTTGGGCCTTGCCCACGATTTTCCAAACAGACCCATACAGCACCAGCAAGCCGGTTCCCCTACTTGCCTCAGAACTCCCTCGGGAGCATGGCCCTGCGCAGAGGGAAGCCCCTCTGAGAGATTCGTTTTAACTTGTAAAAGGGAAAATTGGGGCCCGAAGCAAAGAGGACGCCAGTGTCGGTTAGAGTCCGCGCCCTTGGTCGTGGGAGCTGGTGCGTCTCCCTGGTGCCACCAGGCACGCGGCTGCTCAGAGGGCCGGGAGCTGGTCCGAGTGGTGTCTTCATTTGGGAGGGGCAGTGCTGGGTCTCCACCCTTGATGCTAAAGAACAGGCCTCCAAAAAGACAGGCCAAAGTCCCCAGCTGAGCTTCCACCAGTGACCACAGGGGAATTGACGGGGCTTCCTGCCTGCGGGCACGGTGGTCCGATGGGGAGCGCTGCTCTGGAAGCCGAGAAGGGGCCCCAGACAAGGCCGCCCGCCCACAGGGAAGCCCTGGGCATCCTCCCATCCTCCCCTCGGGACCTGCCCCTCTTGCCGACGGCCTCCTCACCTTCCCCTGGCACTTCCGCACCGTCCGGGAACGTGTCCCATCAGACGAATTGGAGGGCACCACGGCACTCGTGGCCACCCCAGCCCCACCTCGCGCCTCTGCCCTTTGGGGAAACAGCTCAGACATAAACTTTGTCCAAAATAAAGATACCGCTCTTGTCTTTGGAGCTTTGGGGCAGCATGAATAAACTAATTCCTGCCGCCCCCACATCCTGGCCATGTAACCTCCCTTCTTGCGCCTCTAAGAGGAGGTGATACCGGAGAGAAAGGCGCAAGCAGACAGCCACGGAGGAAAGACAGGGAAGGTGCCAACAGGGAGAGGCAGGCAGGAAGGAAGGTGCAAGGTGAGGGCGTCCCTTCCTGGCCACAGCCCTGTGGGGAGCTCGTCACAACCCTGCCTGCCCTCCCCACCTAGCCAGGCCCAGCCCTCCGCCAGTGCAGCCCCCCCCCCAGGACGCAGACCTGGCCCCTGCACCGCCCCACGTCCGGCAGCAGGGGCCTGTCCCCCCCCAGGACGCAGACCTGGCCCCTGCACCGCCCCACGTCCGGCAGCAGGGGCCTGTCCCCCCCAGGACGCAGACCTGGCCCCTGCAGGGGCCTGTCCCCCCCAGGACGCAGACCTGGCCCCTGCACCGCCCCACGTCCGGGAGCAGGGGCCTGTCCCCCCCAGGACGCAGACCTGGCCCCTGCACCGCCCCACGTCCGGGAGCAGGGGCCTGTCCCCCCCCAGGACGCAGACCTGGCCCCTGCACCGCCCCACGTCCGGCAGCAGGGGCCTGTCCCCCCCAGGACGCAGACCTGGCCCCTGCACCGCCCCACGTCCGGCAGCAGGGGCCTTGCGCTGCCTGACTAGACAGGCCTCTCTCGGCAGCCACCTGGGCACTGGCAGGGCGCGCTAGGGACGGGACAGTCCCCAGCCCCCACTCCCGGTGCTACGTGTGGCAGGGGCTCCCTGATTTGGAATCTGCTGGGCAAAGAATCCAAGGTCTGAGCTGAGGTCAACAGGTCTGGATTATTTGAAAGGAATTAGATACAGGTATCTCTATACCATGATTTGTTTTGGGGAGATGTGACAGAAAGGGTTGGAATGCGTCAGGCTGGAGTGTTCTCTGTGTCGTAAAGAGTGATGCTGGCGATTATGGAGGAGGGAAGAAGAGAACATAGAGCTGAGGAGGAAACAGTCCTTAGATGTAGAGTGGATCTGAAAGGTGAGCTGCTTATACAATATTTTTAATATCGGAATATTTTATAATCATAATAATGTGGATTGTGGGTCTTGATTTTCTGTTAAGGATTAAACCAAAAGAGACGAGACTAGACTGCAGCTTGGGAAGTCAAGGTTAGCCATTAGGAGGAAGTGCTTTTGAGCAAGAGTAACCCTTGTGAGTGGCAGAGGGGAGAAAGGAGTGGCCCGGGGCACGGAGACAGGCTTCTGGGAGGCACTGAGTGATGACCAGGGCCTCAGGCGCCCATGCCCACGGACTGTCAGAGGTGTGGTGAGGTGGGGCCAAGGGAGAACTAGCTCAAGCTTCCCCCCCGGACATCACCCCCAGCAGCCCCATCAGTGCCAAGTACCCAGAGAGAGGGTCCCCTGGTCCCTCTCCCCTGCCTCTTGCTGGATACCTGGCAAGGCTGCAAGGACTGGCTGCTAGCCCTGGTCTGCCACCAGGTTAGGTCCACTCAGCCACCACCATGCAGCCCTTGAACTAAGGAGCCTCTGGGCTGCCCTGTCCAGACCTGGCCCAATGCAGATGTTGGTAAATGCTTGTTGTGTGGCATAATAAAACCTCTGGCTGCACAGCAAGAACATTAGAAAGAGCCCTAGACTGATACCCTCATTATACAAAGGGTGGCAGTGAGGTGGCCCAGGGACGGGCAGGGATGGACCTGCCCCAGGCTTCCCGATGTTGTGCTCCTGTGCTGTCTCGCATGCAGCCGAGGGAACACTGGGCTCAGCAGGGGCGTGCACGCCCAGCAACCTGGCACCGTCACTTCCTCGGACACTCACAGGGTGCTCAGGGCACCGGATCTGGCCCTCTGTGCCCCCCGTCCCACTCTGCTCCAGGCCCGTCCTGCTCCTCCTTGTTCCCAACTCTTGGCTCCATCCCAAGTTCACCCTCCCACCCTGGCTCCGTCCCTCTGAGCATCATTTCTCTCCTGTGTTCTCCCTGGGCTTCTCTCGATCTCCTCAGCTCTACTGGGCTCATCTAGTCCCGCCTCTGACACTCTGCCATAGTTGAATCCTAGACACCCAGCCCCCAGCTCCAGCTCCAGCTCCAGCTCCTACCCACTGGCCAGAGCCTGGAAGGCTCAGTGCAGCACCCAGACACGCACGTTCACGTGGCCCATAGAGCCCAGTAATAGACAGTGGATCGTGGGCGGGTAGCAACAGTGCACAGCTCTGTGACAGTCACAGGTAGTGTGCAGCGAGGGGTCACAGTTCCATAGCAACCAGACAAAATTACATAGCAATGAATGAACTTAAGCAATCAAGAGGCACAGTGACAAGCAACAGAGTGCAGCCATGGAGCTGTGGCGTGTTGGTGCATAGCAATAGCCCAAGCCACAGAATGATGTCACACAGCCCTGCATTGCAGGAGGATGCAATGCATAGTCACAGAACACAGACAGTCACAGGGCAGCAGCGGACACTTCAATAGCACTGGCACACACTGCGTAGCAATGGCATGGTCACAAGGTGTGCAAGTCCTACACATGTGGTCAGGGACTGGTCACAGCAGCAGAGCCTAGGGGTGAAGCAGTGGCCCAGGGACATGCAGTGGTTGTGCAGTAACCAAGCTATTAACTGCCTCCCGGGCTCATGGCCATGTCTCCGGCCGTGAGCCTCCAGCGTCCCTGACTTCTGCATGTCCGTATCTAGTCTCATCATGCATTCCCCCAAGCCCGAGGAACAGTTTCGTCCCGGATTCCCTTCAGAGCCTACTTCACATTAATAGGGAATTGAACACTGTCTGGAGAAAGGAGCGCCTGGGCAATGGAGGCAGGAGCACAGGAATGAGATCTGTGCCCCTCTGTGCACGTGCTCCCTGCTGCCCTGGGGCTGCAGCCCCAAGTGTGCCCTTTGACCTGCCTTCATCCCCACGCTGCCACCCAGCCACTCCTTTGCATCTCGGACACCTGGTTTTGACGCAGGCCTTTCAAGCCATGGTGCCTACATGGTGCAAGGCTCTGGTCCTAGATGGGCCCATGGAGGGCCAGGCCCCACGGGCACGGTCTTGGGCCATATGCAGGGCCTGGGGCAGAGGGGGAGGAAGCCTACACGTGCCTTCTGCGGACTCGGAAGCCTGGGTAGGGCTTTTGAGTGTGAAGAGTGAGGTGTTAAGGGTCATCCTGAACATGGTGACTCTCCGAACATTAAATAACCTGTGAGCCTCTCCCCGTCACCCCCAGACACCTGACACCAGCGTGAGAGCAGGGACATTGAGGGGCCCACTTCCACCACAACGGGCTCATGAGACACCTGCATGTGCCTGGGCTCCCCACTCTCCAGGCAGTCAGAACTCCAGGATTCCCCACCCTGCCAGGGGCCCGGCCCTGCGTCCAGCTGGGGGCGGGGACCAGGAGGAAGAGGCCAAGGCCCCCAGCTCTGAAATCCCCCAATAGACGGGAGCAAGCCACAGCCCAGGAGACGATGTAGGGCACAGAGTAGGTACACAATAAATACCAGGGAGGGACAACAGGCAGAGGGGCACAGTTCAGACACTGCATCTTCTTAGCTGCCACACTCAGCCAGCATTGCTGGGCATGCTTAGTAAACCCTCTCAGTAAAGAAGGGAGAGGGAGAAAGACAGGGCCAGGAGGGCTTCCTGGAGGAGGTGGGCTGTGCTTGAGCTTTGGCTAAACAGGCAGAGATGCTCAGTTCAAGAAGCGTGTGTCCAATGCTATTTCCAGTGCAGAAATGCAAGCATAGAGCTGCCCCCCATCTCCCTCCCGCATCTCTCTCTCTCTCTCTGTCTCTCTCTCTCTCTCTCTCTCTCAATCTGATTCCTGTTGCCCTCCCTCCTCCTTACTCAGAGGAGATTCATGGCAGACATGAGGGCCCTCATACCGGGAGATGAATAATTGACAAGGGTTGTTGAAAGATTCAGTGGAGTTTTTGCAGCCTCCTCACGCTGGAATAGCTCATCCCTCTCATTCTCTCTTTGAAAGCCTCCCCTCCCTCCACTGTCTCCTCGGCCCTTCACACCCCCGCTCGGAGCAGACCCCTTTTGTTCCTCTCCCTTTCTTGAGCCTGCCGGACCGAGAACCCTCCCTCCCT